TTAGCTGAACACTCCAGACGCTGTCTTTAACTGCCTATAAGATAAAGGCCTCAGGTTGATTTTCAAGACTTTACATATCCTGAACTTTTCTTCATCATTCAGGTTTGCTTTTCACCATTGTGATCCTGCGTTCTGATCCTAGTCCCTCATCATATATCCAGTTTATTAAAAACTCCAGCCTCTGGAGGGACCTGGAGAGTATTATGCTAAGTAAAATAAGCCAATCAGAGAAAGACAAATACCACATGATCTCACTTATTTGTGGAATATAATGAACAAAATAAGCTGATGAACAAAATAGACCCAGAGATATAGAAAGAAGTAGGGTACAGAGTGACAAACCTTAGAGGAGGGGGGTAGAGGGAGGAAAGAGATAAACCAAAGAACGTATATGCATATATGTGTAACCAATGGACATAGACAACAATGCTTTGGGGTGGGGTGGGGGGATGGGGAGGAGGGTGTGTAGGGAGGAAAAAGGGGAAACATCTGTAACAAAAATAAATTAATAAAAAAAATAGGAAGAATTGATAATTACCATTAAAAAAAACGAAAAACCCTCCAGCCTGGCCAGTGTGGCTCAGTGGGTGAGCATCGCCCATGCACCAAGATGTCACAGGTTCGATTCCCAGTCAGGGCACATGCCCAAGTTGTGGGCCCGATCCCCAGTGGGGGGCATGCAGGAGGTGACCAGTCGATGATCTCTCTCATCGATGTTTCCATCTCTCTCCCTCTCCCTTTGTTTCTCTCTAAAATCAATAAAGAAAAACAAAAACAAAAGCTCCAGCCTCCTCCCAAATTTGTTGTGTCCCTCTAGTTATAGGTTACTAATTCTTCAAGTCAAAGTTTAAGCCCTCATTCTATTAGGACTTGGCCAACTCTTTAAATTACTCTTTAAGCCCAACTTCTGCTATTAAAATATCAGTTGGAAGCTAATAACTTATTTTTATTTATCATTGTATCTTCAGAGGCAAATTGTGAAAAATTAGGAATATGTCTAAATAATGCTAGTAAGACAATCCTGCCTTTACCTAAAAACCCCACATGATACGTTGGTTAGCTGCTGTGACTTGGGAAAATACAGCTTTGTGCAACCCTGGAGAGACTTCGTATTGGTGCTGAGTTTTAGTACATCAGTAATTGTGTATGCCTCTTTGCCCCCAGCTGAATTCTCAGCCAACCAAGAGATAAAGGATCATTACCAATAAAGACTAGGTTGGAGGACATAGCTTCAGTGTGTAGTGATAATAAAGAACTCAAAATATTAGGTAGGCTTACTACCCTGTCACAGACCCCTGGCAACTGTGTGCCCACTTCCCTTCCCCAAAGGGAGCCTATAGGCTAAGTTTACTATATTGTTGAAAGCAGAGTAGAGCACATGTTTTCTAAACAGGCAGGCTCTTAGAAGAGGAAAGAAAAGGGTCAGAGGTTGACCCATGTATGCCCAGTTCCTAATTATGATGAGAGAGATGAGTTAGGGGCAGGAGAAGACCAGTACTTTTACTCTGTTGGAAGGTATCTCCCTCCACACTGAAGGACGCATTAGGAGTTGGAAATGAATTCTTTCCTAACATTTGGAGAGGAAGAAAAAGGAGGCTTCCTACCAGAAATGTTTCCTAGGGATTCACGTCACGACACTTGTATCAACATTCTGGAAAACTTCAAAAGGAATTTTTCTCCTCTACCCATTCTGAAATAACCCAAAGATCACCCTAATTCTTTTTTTTTTTTTTCAATGTGTTTTTTAATTGATTTGAGAGAGGGAGAGGGAGAGAGAAACATCTATAGGCTGCCTCCTGCATGCCCCCTGCATCCCCTTGATCAGGGGATCAAGCCTGAAACTGACCCTTTGTTGCATAGGACAACACTCAAGCAACTGAGCCACACCAGCCAGGGCCGCCCAATTTCTTGAGTTTACTTTGTAGATGGCTATACCTTTGAGTGTCTCATTAGAAAAAGACTGGCAGCTGACAAAACAAGACATGACTAAAACTATGGCTATATCTGTGAGGTGTTGTGTGAAATCAGTGTCTGCATTAGATCTTGTATATTTAAATTTTTTCCTTATGGCCTCAAAATAAAAAAAAATCTTCTCTCCTGATACCAACAAGAAATAGGAAAATTAGAATTCCATGTGAGAAAATCTAAGCATGGCATCCAGACCAGGATTTAGGGTAGATTCTGGGGCACAGTTGGTGAATGGGGTTAAGAGATTACATCTGGGACACTTCTCAGTTTTACAAATCAAGGCCAACCCTCTAAATATGTATTGTACATCCCACGTTGCTCTGTTCCATTCTCATTTTATGACTGTACATTTGATTTTAAAAGCTTAAGCTAAACTTTGACACTTTATGGATAGTCCTTGACTAATCTTAGCTGGATCCAGAGCACAGTCTATCACTTTATAGTTAAAAGAAAGAAAGAAAGAAAAAAAAATGCAGCCCTTTATGTACCCTACAATATGTACCTGTTAGTTTACCAGGCATTTTGTCTAAATTTTGCAGCTACCTTTTTTTTTTTTTTTTAAATGAACTTCATTTAGACTTTTCTGAAAAAGCAGAGCATGGATTATCCTTATTATCATGTTAGGATAAATCTGTTAGGAAGAGCATACATTTATTTGAGCTTTTATAGATCCTTGGACCTAGACCTTTAATTCCTTATGTAGGAATCAGTTTTACCACTGTCATAATGTTGACAAAGATCCTTCCCATTATAATACATTCTCAATTTATCTGGAAGTGTTCATTACGAAGATATATTGATTAAAGTGCTAGATTTTATGATACTTTATTAAGTTGTTCTATTTCTTTCCCCTGAGGGATGATGGCGAGGAGGAACCTTGGCAATATTTTCCAAAACCCTTTAACAGGCTAAAACAACTAGAGCCATGCCCTGTATCCTGTAATTTTGGGGACCATAATAATCAGCCTATGTCTTACAGCAGATGGATGCAAAATTATGTATCTGGGAAAATCTTGCTTGACACAGTGGTTCTACATTTTGAGTGGATTTCCAATCAGACAGTTGTTCCTCAACATTTATAAGAATCAGTCAACATATTCCTCAGTTCATCTGACTATTAAAGTAGCAGGGAAAAAATCTGTACTCAAACTCACTATTTTGATAAAACCTTAAAATTCAGTTTAAAATATTATTTTTGAGAGATTACCTAAAGAATATAATCTATTTCATTTTTCTAAATGTTATAACATTTAACTTTAGTTTTAGCCAGATATAATAGTTGTATACTTGAACACTATTGGCTCTCTATAGAATTGCTTTGAGAACTGACATTCGATTTTAGCAAAGTGACTGCAAAAACCTGTTTTAAAGGGATAGTGGGGATGAAAGCCCAGTTTGAATGGGCTCAAGGAAGAAACTTTAGATGAGCATAGACAACTCTTTGCTGTTGTTTTTTCTTAGTCTTTTATTCTCTGATAAAAGACACTGTGCCAGATTCTAGCACAGACCTTGGACATAACAAATGTTCTGTAGTACTGGTTGAACAAATAAATGCATATCTCTTTCGAGTAGGGGGCATACAGGAGGTAGCCGATCAATATTTTATTCTCACATCAATGTTTCTCTCTCTCTCCCTTTCCCCTTCCTCTCTCTTAAAAAGCAATAAAAAATAATAAAATAAAAAAATAAAAAAAATAAAAAGCAATAAAAATTTTTAAAAATAAAATAAGTGAATATTTCTAGGTACACACATATAAAGATTTATCTAAAAGGGGTCCCAGTAGTGAAATTGTGAGGTTTGATGTCATCCCCATTTAAAATCTCATTACATTTTTTCCTAAAATGTTTAGCATAGACAACTCTTTTTTTTAATTTTTTTATCCTCACTCGAGGACAGGTTTGCATTTATCTTCAGATAGAGTGGGAGGGAGAGAGAGAGGAAGAGAGAGAGAGAGAAATATCGATGTGAGAGAGACACATCGACTGGTTGCCACCCACAAGACCCCAACAGGGGCCGGGGATGAACTGCAACCAAGGTACATGTCCTTAGCGGGAACCGAACCCAGACTCTCTCATCCTTGGGCCAATGTTCTAACCACTGAGCAAAACTGGAGAGGGCAGCATAGACAACTCTTTAGATAAATTTTGCAGTAAAGAGAAGTAGAGATCTGGGGGAAAAAACAAAACAAAACAGGATAAAGAGATGTTTTTGTTAACTTTTAGGGAAATGATGTTTCTTTGCTAATGCAAAGAATCCAGTAGAGAAGTAAACATCAATGCTGTAAGACTTACCAGTGCAATGTAGGACTTAGTGCATTGACCTTAGCTAGGAGCTTAACCCGTAACAGCAGAGAAGGTAGAGAATATCGGTATGAATGCTAGCATCTTATTCCAATGTAAAAATTTCAAGAGCTATGCAGTGAAAATCCTTTCATCCTTATATACTTGTGAATGTCTTTGTGCAGAATATGCAGGATAAATCTCTAGAAATTGTATTGCCAGGTCAAAGGAAATCATATTTTAAATTGCAATCTATGTTCCCAAATTCTCATCCAAAAGACTATTTCAGTGCACACTGCTACTAGCAGTAGTGAGAGGGCCCTTTTTCTATCCCCTCACCAACATGAATTTCACCAGTTCTCTTTAATTTTGGTTATCTGATGGGTAAAAAAAAAATGGTATTTTTGATTTTGTGTATTTGGGGACATTCATTCTCTCTCTCTCTCTCTCTCTCTCTCTCTCTCTCTCTCTCTCTCTTTCTCTTTCTCCAATTTCTGGTTGATTTTTAAAAACATCTTTATTGGGACATAATTCATATACCATAAAATCCATACATTTAAAGCATATAGTTAAATTATTTCCAAGATTCGTCTACATTGTAGCATGTATTAGAACTTCATTCTATTTTCTTTTTTTTATTGTTGAAAGTATTACAGATGCCCACCCTTTTCCCCCATTGACCCCCCATTCTATTTTCAATAATATTCCATTACACTGAATATATATATATATATATATATATATATATATATATATATATATATCCTGCCCTTCTTACTCTCCCAAAGGAAGAGAAGAACGATCATCAATAGCCAAGAGAAGTTGCAAAAGCAACACCAAGAGCCAACTTAATGCTCAGGAGAGAATGCTGTGCCTCCTCCTCATGGTTTCTGGCACACGACAAGTTCAGAGAAACTTCTCTAGTAACAGACTATAGAAATTATCCCTGGAAGTATAGTCTTTACCATGTTTTTAAATCCTTCCTCTTTTGGCTTGTTTCCATTTTTTACTATTATGAATAATGCTGCTATGATCATATGTATACAAGTTTTTACATGGGCTTACATTTTTATTTATTTTGAATATATACCTAGGAGTAAAATTGTTGAGTCGTATAATGACTTTATATTTAATATTAGAAAAACTGCCAAACTGTTTTCCAAAGCAGCTGCATTATTTTACATTCCCACCAGCAGTGTGTGAAGGTGCCAATTTTTCCATGTCCTTGCCAACAGTTGTTATTGTCTGTCTTTTTAATTACTGCCATCTTAGTGGGTGTGAAGTGGCATCTCGTTGTGTTTTTCTTTTTAATTTTGTTTTAATTACAGATGACATTTAATATTATTATATATTAGCTTCAGGTGTAGCACATAGTGGTTAAACAGTCATATAATTTATAAAGTAACCCCCCCTCAATATTTCAAGTATCCACCTGACACCATACTTAGTTATTATAATATCATTGAGTATATTCCCTAGGCTGTATGTACTTGACATTCCCGTGACTGTTATGGTTTTAATTTGAATTTCATTAATGGCTAATGATGTGAACATCTTTTCATCTTCTTATTGGATATTTTTATATCTTTGGGGAAATGTTTATTCAAATCTTTTGACTATTTTTAAATTGGATTATTTGTCTTTTTATTATTGAATTGTAAGAGTTCTTTATATATTCTGCTAACCAGTCTTTAGTCATGATTTAGATATATGATTTGTAAACATCTTTCCTTCTGAAGGTTGTCTTTTTTACTTTCTTGAAAGTATCATTTGCAGCACAAAAGCTTTCAATTTGATGTAGTGTAATTTATTTATTTTGTTTCTGTTGCTTGTATTTTTAGTATCATAGCTAAGAAATCACTAATCAGTCCAAGGTCACAAGGTTTACTCCTGTTTTCTTCTAGCAGTTTTATGGTTGTACCTCTTAGATCTGCGATTCATTTTGAGTTCATTTTTATGTGGTGTAAGAAAGGGATTCAACTTCTTTTTTTGTGTGTGCATATATTCTGTTATCCCAGTACCATTTGTTGAAAAGACTGATTTTTCCCTATTTAATTGTATTGGCACCCTCAAATGACCATAAAAGTAAAGATTAATTTCTGAGATCTCAATTCTATTTTATTGACCTATATGTCTATCCTTATGTCAGTGCTACACTGTATTGATTACTGTAGCTCTGCAGTAAGTCTTAAAATCAAGAAATGTAAATTCTCTAACTTGGTTTTTATTTTTAAGGATTATTTTGGCTGTTCATTGTCCCTTGCATTTTCATATGAATTTTTTATAATCAAGTTGTCAATTGCTCCAAAAATCAAGCTGGGATTTCATAGGGATAATGTGAGTCAATTTCAGGAGAATTGCTTTCTTAACAATATTAAGTCTTCCAATTTATAAACCTGAGGCAGCTTTCCATTTATTTAGATCTTTAATTTTTTCAACATTTTATAGTTGAACAAGTGGACAAATCATAGACTTCTTTGGTTAAATTCTGAAGTATTTTATCCCTTTAGGTGGTCTTGGAATGGAATTGATTTTAATGTCGTTTTCATTGCTAGTGTATAAAAAAAACCACAATTGATTTTTATATATTGATGTTGTATTCTGCAACCTGATGAACTCATTTAGTAGTTCTAATAATGTGTGTTTTCCTTATGATTTTCTATGTATAAGAGCATATCATCTGATAATGGAAATCATCTTTTTCTTTTCATTCTGAATGCCCCTCCCTCCCTCCCTCCCTTCCTTCCTTCCTTCCTTCCTTCCTTCCTTCCTTCCTTCCTTCCTTCCTTCCTTCCTCCCTCCCTCCTCTTTCCCTTCTTCTTCTCTTTCTCCTCCTCTTCCTCCTCCTCCTTCTTCACTTACATGCTTTCTAGAACATTTAACACAATGTTAAGTAAACTGAAAAAAGAGAACATCCTCGTCCTCTTTCTAATCTTAGGGGCAAAGATTTGACCTATAATTGTGAGGTTAGGTCTTGGTGTTTCATAGATGCCCTTTATCCGGTTGAGGACATTCCCCTATATTCCTAGCTTGTTGAATGTTTTATCATAAAAGGCTGTTGGATTTTGTCAAATGTTTCTTCTGCGCCTATGGGGATGTTCATGTGGTTTTGGTTTTACTCTGTTAACATGGTATATTACATTGATTGATCTTCATATGTCTAAATAACCTTGCATTCCTGGATATATTCCACCTGGCACTGGTCATGATCTTTAATATTTTTTGTATGTTGCTAAATTTGGTTTGCCAGTATTTTGTTGAGGATCTTTGTGTCTATATTCAAAAGGGATATTGGTTGTAATTTTGGGGTTATTTTCTCTTGTGATTTTTTTTCCTTGCCTTTACCTGGTTTAGTAACAGTAATAATGACCTCACAGACTGAATTGGAAATGTCCCTCCCTCTTCTATTTTTTGCAAGAGTTTGTGAAAAAGGGATTGGTGCTAATACATATATTTTTAATGTTTGGTAGAATTCACTAAAAAAGCTATTTGGTCCTGGGTTGTGTGTGTGTGAATTTTTAAAAACTTACTAGGTTAATCTCTTTACTTATTATAGGTTTATTCAGATTGTCTTTTTCTTCTTGAGTCAGTTTGATAGTTTTAATTTTTCTAGGAATTTGTTCATTTTGCCTAAGTTATCTAATTTATTGACATACAGTTCATAATGTTCTCTTATAATTATTTTTATCTCTGTATGGTTGGTAGTGATAGCCTCTTTTTCATTTCTGATTTTGGTAAGTTAAGTCTGCTCATTTTTTTTCTTGGTCAGCCTAGCTAAAGATTTGTCCATTTTGTTTTTATATTTAAAGAACCAATTCTGCTTTCATTGATATTTTCTATTATGTATTTTATTTCTACTCTAATCTTTCCTATTTCCTTTCCTCTTTTTGCTTTTGGTTTAGTTTGCTCTTCTTTTTCTAGTTTCTCAAGGTGGAAGCTTAGTTATTGACTTGAGAATTTTCTTTTTAATTTAGATATTCACAGCTATGAATTTTCCTCTGAGAACTGCGTTTGCTGTATTTCCTAAGTTTTGATGTGCTGTATTTTTTGTTTTCATTCATCTCAGGGGGCAATCTAATTTCTCTTGTGATTTCCCAATAATCAATTGGTTATTTGGAGTATGTAATTTAATTTGTGCATACTTATGAATTTCCAAAATCCCCTTTTGTTTTTAATTTTTAATATAATTTCATTGTAGTTAGAGAATATATTTCTTTAAATTTATTGAAGCTTATTTTTTATGTCTTAGCATATGATGAATCCTAGGGAACACTGCCTATGTACTTGAGAAGAAGGGGTATTAAACTGTTGCTGCGTTCAGTGTTCTATACATATTGGGGTATTCTCCCATAATAATAAAAAATTTTGATGTAGGAAAGGAAGTATTAGACTGAGAAAAATAAAAAGAGCAACTCTGGTTGAGAGAAATACTATGTAAATTACATGTATAGAAAATAAGAAAAGAGTTGAGTATTCTCTAAATACTATGTTGCTCTCACTCTCACCTCTAGACCTTATCCTTCCTTAGTTTATAAGATCGTATTCTTTAAGTTAGACACATATATATAATTACAGAAAAGGGGCAAGAATTTAAGGATACAGAATAAGACTTTGCTGTTGAGAACATTTTCACTTCTTCTAGAAAAATAACACAGTATAAATATTTTTTGAAAAATTAAATTGATACCTGTCATACAAATTAAAATTCTGTACTGGCACAAGAACAGGCATATAGACCAGTGGAACAGAACTGAAAACCCAGAAATGGACCCAAGGCAATACGCTCAATTAATATTTGACAAAGGTGGCAAGAGCATACAATAGAGTAAAGACAGCCTCTTTAATAAATGGTGTTGGGAAAATTGGACAGCTACCTGCAAAAAAATGAAACTAGACCATCAACTTACACCATTCACAAAAATAAACTCGAAATGGATAAAAGACTTAAATGTGACCCGTGAATCCATAAAAATTCTAGAAGAAAATGTAGGCAACAAAATTTCGGACATCATACAGAGCAGAATTTTCACTGATACATCACCTAAGGCAACAGAAATAAAGGAGAAAATGAATACATGGGACTACATCAAACTAAAAAGCTTCTGCACAGCAAAAGAAACAATCATCAAAATGGAAAGGCAACCCACTGTATGGGAGAACATCATTGCCAATGATGTATCAGATAAGGGGTTAATTTCCAATATATATAGAGTGCTCCTACAACTCCACAAAAGGAAGACAAAGAACCCAATTAAAAAATGGGCAGAGGAGCTCAATAGACACCTCTCCAAACAGGACATACAAATGGCCAAAAGACATATGAAGAAATGCTCAACATCACTAATCATCAGAGAGATGCAAAATAAAACAACAATGAGGTATCACCTCACACCTGTCAGAATGGCCGCCATCTACAAATCATCAAACAACAAGTGTTGGCGAGGGTGTGGAGAAAAGGGGACTCTAATACACTGCTGGTGGGAATGCAGACTGGTGCAGCCGCTATGGGAAACAATATGGTGCTACCTCAAAAAATTAAAACTTGAACTTCCATTTGACCCAGTGATCCCACTGCTGGGAATATACCCTAAGAAGCCTGAAACACCAATCAGGAAGAATATATGTACCCCCATGTTCATAGCAGCACTATTTACAATAGCTAAGATCTAGAAACAGCCCAAGTGTCCACCAGTAGACGAATGGATAAGAAAGCTGTGGTACATATACACAATGGAGTACTATGCAGCGGTAAGAAAGAAAGATCTCTTATCCTTTGAGACGACATGGAGGGACCTGGAAAGTATTATCCTAAGTGAAAGAAGCCAAGCAGAAAAAGACAAATACCACATGATCTCACTTATATACGGAATATAATGAACATAACAGTCTGAGGAATACAGTAGACCCAGACACATGGAAGTAGGGCACAGACTGACATCCCTCAGAAGAGGGGATGGGGGGGTGGGGGGGTGGGAAGAGATAAACCACAGAACTTACATGCATGTATGCATGACCAATGGACATGGACAACTAAGCCGGGGACAGGGCGGCGGTGGGGTGGGGAGGGGGTGCCAATGGGGTAAAAAGGTAAAATATCTGTAACAAAAAAATAAATAAAAATTCATTAAAAAAATAAAAAATAAATAAAATTCTTCCTAGGTATTTAAAAATACATAATGTAATATGACATATGGTTAAATTAACAAACCAATATTTTTTAAGCTGTGTGCACTTTATCCCACTTTGTTAATGTTTTTTACTTCATGGAACTTAGCTTCTCCCTTCAGCATCTACTCTCAGTCTTTTTTTTCCTGGGTCAGGGGAAAGTTTATTTTTTTTCACATGTCCTTGAAGATCAATGATTGATTGGTTTTGTTTGGATGCTAATGACTATTACATTGATCTTATTTACTTGGACTATTATTTAATACATTTATCTCTCAGTTTTAAAATGGAGGGGAAAATTGCCTGTGAGAATATTAGATTTCTTCTGTTCACATGTTGATATGGGAAAATAATGATAACAATTCTCTTTCCTTCTTTTTCAACTAAAGTGCTCCCTTCCTCACACCATCCTTTTCTTCTTCCTTCCTTTTTCTCTTTTCTTCCCTAATTTTTTCTTTCCTTCCTTCTATCCAGTAACAATTGTTGACCCTTTCAGTTAGCCTTCACAATTTCTTTTCCACACATTCTCTCCTGGCTACATAACTTGGGGGGAGAGGAGAGAATGTGAAGGAACATTGTTTTGGGGCTCTTTTCATTGACAGTGAGAGAAACTCAATTTAAACTAATTTAAATGTAGAGAAGAGATTAACCAAAGAATTTATATGCATATATGCATTACCCATGGACACAGACAATAGGGTGGTGAAGAACTGGGGTGAGGAGGGAAGAGGAAGGAGGCTGGCAGTTGGGGAGGAAAAAAGGGGGGACATCTGTAATACTCTCAACAATAAAGATTTTTAAAAAATAAAAATTTCTCGTGCTGAATAAAGAATAAAAAAATTTAAGGACACTGACACTGAATTTCATAAATTTTCACATGCTATGGACTTTTGTTTTTTAGATTTTCTTCAACCATTTTAAAATGTAAAAACTATTTTTAGCTTGCAGGTTGTATAAAGATAAGCAAAGTTTGCTAACCCCTGGTAGAGGAAGGAGAAGGAGTAAGAACTGGAAATAAATAGCTATGGTAGAGTGCCATGTTAGTTTGGTGTTTATAGTAGACAGGTGATACGAGATGATGCTGAGGTAACAGACAACCTCAGACTTTCAGTGAGTTGCAATAACAGAAGTACGTCTCGCTCACAATGCATGTCCACCTGGAACATTGTGAGATCTACTGGCAGAAGGAACATATAGAATGTGGCAAACCACATGCTGGTTCTGAAAACTTCTGCCTGAGATCAACATACATCACTTCACTCATATTTCACTAGCCAAAGCAAGTCACATACCCATGCTGGACCTCAACTGGGTGACATAATGGAATCCTCTCCCAGGGAGGAGAGTGACAATCTGTGAACAATAACATAGTCTGACACATTGCCTCTCCTTAGTGCCTTCAGTTGCTGAGGTTTGGTTATTCCTGAACCAAGTTTATTATGTTCTCCAAACTAGTGTCCTAAGTGGGAACTGGGGGATATCATGATAGTAACAATAATAGCCTCTGTCAAAAGTTCAGAAGTAGCTGAAGTAAAACCAATGAACTACCAAAGTAGGAATTAGTAAAAATTTATTGTGCACACATCAAAAAGATAGTTCAAGAACTGAGATTACTCAAACCAAAACATGAAATGAGGCTTAGGGATATATTGTTATAAAGCAGTTTATAAAGTGAGAAGGCTGTGTGTATTTATTTTTCAGAGTGATTGGTTATAATATTAGAATTTTCTTCTATGAGAATGGGTTAGTGGTTACCTCATATTAACCATGGGAAGTACTGTTTAGTTTATGATTTCCAGAGGTATAAACAAGAAGTGACCCACGTCAAATTAGTCTTGAAAATGAAGATAAATTAAGATTTGCTTATATGACTAACCTCGTTTTGTCTGCTCAGGGAGTTGTCAAGGCTGGTCTCTGTTGGTGTGTCATTTAAACGTCTAATGTTTATTGAATGGTTGTTTCCCATACATGCATTCCTTACATGCATTTTTGCACTTAATTCTCATGACAATCCATTGAGGTAGTTATTATTTTTATCCCCATTTTACAGATGAGGAAACTGAATAATAAAGAGATTAAAGGCACTGAATACCAAGTAGCTGAAATTCAAATCCAGATCACTCTAAATTTAATGTGTGTATTCTCCTTTAGCATTAGTGGTTAAGAATATAGGTTCCAGTGATAAACTCCCTAAGTTCAAATCCAGGCTGGTGCCAGAAACTACTTTGATGGCCTTGGGCAAGTTCTGTAACTTCTCTTAGTTTCTCCATCTGTAAATTGGGGGTGCTAACAGTACCACCTCATGGGGTTTTTGTAAAGTTTAAATCTAACAATTAATGCATGTGGAATGCTAATGTTTAGAACAGGACCTAGTAAATAAAAAAAGTGTTTGTTATTATTATTGTTATTACTATTATCATTATCATTTAGCAATGCTTTAGAAAACTCCATCGGTAATTCTACTCCCTTTCCTTTTGTTCCTTCCTCATTTCTAATCTCCTTTGAGAATTACTGTTTAAGATTTTTGTTCCTCTCTCCTATTTATCTATTTTTTTGGACTAATGCTTCACCAGCATGGAAGGTAAACTGTAGGAATACCATTGCCTTCAACCCAACTGTGTATCTCTGATTCCCAGACCTTCCCTGCTTGTCACATTTACACTCATGATTTATTATTTAGACTTCGGGTTTACTGTATGTGGGTACCTGAAGAGTGGGCTGCCTAGAGAGAAGGCGGGACACTCCCTAATTCTTGCTAGGTGACCTTGCTGATCCCTTTTTCCGGGTATGTTTTTCAAGTTGATGGTTTGACTGTGGTTTCATTTTGGAAACAACATAGTAATTTTTCCCCCTGCGAAAAGTATAGCAAAACCAAGTCAGTTCAGTAGCCAATTGTGTGTGGCACAGGTCTATCTGTTGGTCATCAGCCTTTTAAAAACCAGACGTTCCTTGAGTTCCTTGAGCAGAGCCTAGTGGGCCAGTGGGGTACTTACGGCAAAGTAGGCACAACTCTTCCTCATGTGGGGTAGAGAGAACAAACCAGTTCGTTCTCAGTTTCAGTGCTTAAAATAGAACCAAACAGAATGGCTTACAAAGTTGAAATCTGTTTTACTTACCATCTTATTTTTTATTTTTTTTTACTTCATTTATTACATAAAGCAGAAGGCTAAACCATCCTACTTCCTTATTTGTGTACTTGAAACAATATACAGACTTCAAGCACTGGTTTTAATTGTGGTTAATTTGAAGTTAGAGTTTAAATCCCCATGAGCATACTCTAGTTTTCCTGATGATGGATGGTGTTGATGTGTTTTTTCTTCTTAAGTAACTTACAATAATATTTTTAAACTTTTAGTCTGGAATTACCTTTTTATTTTTCCCCAGTCTACATTTGAGTATTTCAGTTTAGCTGTGTGGATTGAGAAATGGTAAGAGACAGCAGTAAGAAAGTTTACAAAGTTTGAGAGGACTTGATTAGGGTATATTATTATGTAAATAAAGTCAAAGCTAAGATTTTGATTGTTTTCATGTGCTTCAATTACCATCCAGCCAACCTCAAATGATCTCATACTTCTGAACGGTCCAAATAAATTTAGATTTTTTCCAAAGATAGCAGATTAGAACACAGTAATTTACCATCTTTTCTGCTTGTTGGACTTAAATTGTGGATTAACTGGGCATCAAGTACCATATTAAACATCACTGATGTCTTTAATCAAGTTACGGATATAAATTTGATCCATGCTATTCTGTAGGGATTAGGACAGGGGTTTATACGTAAATGTTACTATAAAAAGATATATCCTCAGATATGCAGAGTCATGCTGGAGACATCCATGGGTTTCCTCATTTTCACACTTAGATTGCTAGGTTAGGTTGAAGCTAAATTCTAATTCCATTTAGTTGTATAGAATAATCAGCCTTTGCTTCTTCCTGACCAGTTTTCAATTATTTAGCCTTTTCCTCTAAAATCCATGCAGCAGAGTTAAGTACTGTCTTCCCTCTAATTTCATAGCATATTTGAGGGGGCTTTGCAGGGAATGAAACAAGTTGATACAGTACCAAGCATGAAAAAGGCTGCGTTCTTGAGTCATAGTTGTATTGTGCTAAATTGTTTGGGGGACACTACAGTTGTTATTATTCAAGAGTAAAGAGACACTTAAAACAATATATATTTTTTCAAGGTAACCATTCAGATTTATTTTAAAAAGGAGAGGAGAGTTCTCTTGATTTATAAGAGCAAAGGCAACAGTCAGCCATTTCTTTGACTAAGTCATGCAATACTTGAGTACAATTTAAGCCCAGTTACTTTGGTAGGATTTAAAGGAATAAGACATATGTGAATAAAATGATATTAGATCTGTATAATTCTGAATCATAAAACAAAGATTAAGATGGTAATATTGGTCCCTCAAGTGCTGGTATTCAAACTTTAAAAATCAATCAAGAGAAAAGATTAGTGGTGTTTCTTTGGTACTAAAAATGTAAAGCTAAAACCAAATTGTTCTATTTTCACAGATTTAAGATACAAAGGATGATATTTAAAGACATTAAAAATGGCTATTAAATTCTCTTCAGTTTGTAAAGAATCTCCTATGAAGTACACTTAGAAGAAATCCCTGAGTACATTAACTACTCTATTAGTATCTTCCTTCATAAACAAAGATGTACAATTTAAAGCTTCGTAAAACATAAAACATAATACTTAGCAATAGCAGTATCTGTGTATAAGGGTCCCTCCACAGTGCTTGTAAATTAGGTCAGCAAATGCTTAATAGTAGAAACAACAGATTCACAAAATTAAAATGATATTTTAACACATTAACCGTTCCTAGGTAATTCCAAAAACCATTCTCTTATACTCTTTCTATTTTGATTTAGCCATTCAATATTGTTTTTCACTGTTTCCAGCACTTGCTGCCTAGGTTTTTCTCCTGCTCCAGCTTCTGGATATTTTTTGAAAAAACTCTCCATCTATAAAAGAGAGGGAAATAATTAAGAAAGTCATTTTAAGCCCAGTTATTCTTCTGGAATTTCATTTACAAAACTGGATTTGTTTCCTTTCCCCCTGGAAATTCGGTTTCACCACACAACATTGAGATACATCTTTTGGTCCATCATTTAGATTGATCCCGTCTCTCAGAACAGCCATGATCATCTATGGCTTTTGGACGCCTCACTGCGCGTCAAGCCACAAGAGACTCTAACACTGGGGAAGAGGGTGGCACACTAGCAGCCGGCATGCCCATTCCTGCTTCAGCTGGTTTCTCTATTTTCTGTGCATACCTCAGGGCATTCCTGGGAAAATCTGGTCTGTGGAATGATGGCTTTGCTTAGGCTTTTGTTCCAGGGTCAGGAGCATTTCAATATACTTTCAGTTCACTTACTAAGAACTTATAAAAAAATCTTTGTTAAACTTGGCTCTGTCCTTCTAACTTCCTCCAAAACTCAACCATAGGATGACTTGCTAGTTACAAAAATGAGAATTATTTTGCCTCTTAACACAGAGAAGAACATTAACATTCCAATATCTAATACACAGACATTAAAATCCATACAGTATGTCCATATTATCATACATTTTTCCCTCTGGGAACTGAGATATTTGAAACCTAAAAGATTTGGGTGAAGTTTTGAAATTCTAAAACTATGAATTCTGAAAGGAGTCACATCTTGACCAACTTATTCCAGGGTAACATTTACCAGCACAGGAGAGACATACGGTTCACGCGTTGTAAGCTGAACGGTCTCATGAAGATTTCTAAAATCGCCTTTCTCCGATTTTAAACTTTGTTTCTTGCTTATTCAAAAAAATTTTTTCAGTTTAGAAAAAATAGCTGTACATTTAATTAGATACAGTAATTCTTTCTTTCTCCTTGTCCTCTCTGATTTGAATAGAGGGAATATCATCCCTGGCCCTGGCGGATTTGGTTCAACGGTTAGAGCTTTGGTCCTCAGACCAAAGGGTCTCGGATTTTATTCCCGGTCTAGGGCATGTACCTGGGTGGCAGGTTTGATCCCGGCCCCAGTCGAGGGTTGTGCAGGAGGCAACCAATTGATGTGTCTCTTTCATATCGATGTTTCTCTCCCTCCCTCCCCTCCACTCTGTCTAAAAATCAGTGGGAAAAAATCCTCGGTGAGGATTAACAACAACAACAACAAAAAATACCATCTCTGTTTTTAAGAAAAGTTTAGCTTTGTCAGGTCTAAGACAAGTTCGAGGTGTTGGTCTCCATACCTGCCAGAGCTGGAGTTCAGTGTTGAACGGCTCTGCTATAGTGACAATCCTACCAAGGTATCTGTCATTGAGTGTGAATCTGAAAGACATTTAGGGGAGTAAAAGGGTATATAAGTACACAGAACTTTACGTTTTTTTCTCTAGATGCAAATATTTGCTTTTTATTATGTCGGTTTTTATAAAAGTAATTTTCAAAGTGAGGAAAACATTTGATTTAAAACAATTCTTTTTGCATGAACAAAGGTCATGGACAACAAAGCTGGGGACAGGGCGGGGAGTTAAGGGGGGTAATCAGTGGGGGGAAAAGGAGAAACATCTGTAACAAAAATAAATAAAAAAATAAATGAATAAATAAATAAATAAAACAATTCTTTTCAGGAGAAATTCTTAGTAAACTCTGCATTTCTTTTTGTAGATCAATTCACACCAATGTTCCCCGAGGTGGTAAACTGCTTATTATATTACCCAAATCTGTTCTTTTTTTTCACACACATGAGAACCCAGATAGAGACTACATTTCTCAGCTTCCCTCATAGGTAGGTAGGTGTAAACAGGTGACCCAATTCTTATCAATGGAACATGATCAGAAGTGATATTATCTCCTTGCTTAGGTGAAAGAAATTGCTTGCCCTTAAGCTTCCTGTTTTTTCCTCCCTTTATCCAAGTTTCAACCACACAGTTAGGATAAAGCCCTGGGCTTCAAGGACCGAAACCACCTAACAACTTGTAATGCTCACAAAAGATTTATTAACTACTTACATACTTTGGTTATGATCTGTATCATCCTGGCTAAAGAAAGACACTTAAAACTAAGTTCAAAAATAGAATTTATCTCTATTCTTGTACTTTTCGCATTTTCTTTCTTAAAGAGCAAGAATCAGAAATTTCCTTACAGACCATAACACCTATGGTTGTGACCCAGGTAAACATCTCATCACAACTAATTATAGTGCAAGAAGAAAAATGCACATAAAATGTGAACCGTTAAAATATTGGGGAAAGATAACAAAATATATTAATGGATGAAGAAGTCAACTAGCAGTAGGACAAATTTCACATAAAAATGATAACATAGCAAAAGCAGAAACCAAAAAGGTGAAAACTGATAAAACTTGTTGCTTATACATTTTTTAAAAGTTTTATACTAAAAATTGCCATAAAACTAAAAGTCAAAATGCACTAGTTTGTTGTAGAAAGAGCAAATATTTTCACTATATAAAGAACCCATTAAATTAGTGAGAGGGAGAAATATGCAAACATGAAATTAGCAAAATAATGGATTGTGGTTGGCAGTAGAAATATAAAGAGAGAGATTCCAAAATGGCGGCAGAGTGAATGGAAGCTACACAGACCGTCTCCCAGGACCAAACTGAAATTACAACTAAAATAAAGACAAGTCTTTGGGAAAAGGCAACAGAAAAGCAGATTGCCAGGACCATATAACCAGGGACACTGACTCGATCCTGGTAGGACTGTGGAGGTGTGAGAGGGGACTGGGAACCCACAGCAAGCAGCGGTCTGAGCTCTGAGCAGTGTCCTCGTGGTTACACTCCCAAGCGGCTCCACAGCTCAGAGCCAGGACAGAGCCCTAAAATAGCCACAGCTACTCTTACCTTGGGCTCTAGCAGAGGGAAGGCGACTGAACTGAAACTGTGTAGGGACACTTGGGATTAGGAGGGCACTCAAAGCTTTTGGTGAGCTGCAGCCATGCAGGATGGTGGCCATCTTACTCCTTCCCAGCAGACCCTCCTTCGGAGAGTCAACCTCACCCAGGTGGGCCATTGAAATGCAAATTCAGGCTCATTAACAACCAGCATCTGCCCCACCCTCAGGAAATCCCCTTACGCTGAGCACCTGAGGGAGTTTTTCATTCAACTGAGAACCCAAGGCTCTTCAAGTAACCGCTACTGATAGCCTCCAGGCAAAAAGCTAGAGGATAACTGAACCCTTCCTGGGCTTGCAACTCTGCCCAGGAAAGTAAGACTTCACAGTGGCGTTTAATGTGAGTCGCCCCATACTCATCCAAGCCCAGGAGAGGGACTCATAAATGGCAGAATTCCAACACTAACAGGGAAAATTTGGCAGGCTCCAAAGCCCACTATGATAGCCAAAATGGTGAAACTAAGAAACAAATGCCAAATGAAAGAACAAGAGACTTCTACGAAAGATGAGATAAATGAGGAGCAGTTAAGCAAGTTAACAGAGCTAGAATTCAGAACCATGATCTTGAGGAACTCAACAACATGAGTAAGGACATGAACACCATGAGTAAAGACATCAAAATGTTGAAAATCAACCAATTGGAAACTAAAAACAACCAAGTAGAAATGAGGAATCACATAGCAGAAATAAAGAACACATTAGAAGGTCTAAACAGCAGAGTAGAAGAAGCTGAGGACCAGATCAGTGTATTAGAAGACAGGGTAGAAAAAAATCAACCAATCAGAAAACCAAAAACAATTAAAAATAAGGAAGACAGCTTAAGAGAACTGTGGGACAACTAGAAACACAATAATATTCGCATCATAAGAGTCCCTGAAGAAGAAGAAAATGAGCAAGGATTAGAGAATATATTTGAAGAAATAGTGACAGAAAACTTCCCTAATTTGGTGAAGGAAGAAGGCATTCAAGTTCAAGAAGCACAGAAAGTCCCAAGTAAGAACCCAAACAGGCCCACACCAAGACACATAGTAATTAAAATGCCAAAAATTAAAGACAAAGAGAGATTCCTAAAAGCAGCAAGAGATAAGCAACAAGTTACCTACAAAGAAACCCCCATAAGGATCTCAGATGACTTCTCAACAGAAACACTACAGGCCAGAAGGGAATGGCATAAAGTAATCAAGGTCATGAAAAACAAGGATCTGAATCCAAGACTACTCTACCCAGCAAGGCTATCATTCAAAATAGAAGGTCAAATAAAGAGCTTCCCAGACAAAAAAAGGTTAAGGGAATACATTAGCACCAAACTAGCACTGCAAGAAATGTTAAAAGGACTGCTGAAATTAGCAGGAGAAATGGGAAGAAAAATAGAAGGACACTAAACAAAAATGGCAATAAATAAGTACATATCAATAATCACCTTAAATGTAAATGGATTGAATGCTCTGATAAAAAGACAAAGAGTAGCTGATTGGATAAGAAAGCATGACTCATCTATATGTTGTTTACAAGAGACCCACCTCACAACAAAAGACTCACATAGATTGAAAGTGAAGGGATGGAAAAAAAACTTCCAAGCAAACAGAAAGGGAAAAAAATCTGGGGTAGCAATACTCATATCTGATCAAATAGATTTCCAAATGAAGGCCATAACTAGAGACAAAGAAGGCCACTACATAATATTGAAAGGATCTATCCAACAGGAAGATATAACCTTGGTAAACATATATGCTCCCTATATAGGAGCACCAACATATATTAAAAATCTTCTGGAGGACTTCAAAGGAGAAATTGACAGCAATACAATCATAGCAGGGGACTTCAACTCCCCACTGACATCACTGGATAGATCCTCTAGACAAAAAATTAGCAAGGAAACAGAGACTCTAAATGAAGCACTAGACCAAATGGATTTAATAGATATCTGCAGAGAATTACACCCCAAAACTACAGAATTCACATTCTTCTCAAGTGCACATGGGAGATTCTCAAAGATAGACCACATGAAAGGATACAAACTAAACATCCACAAGATCAAGACGACTGATATCATATCAAGCATCTTCTCAGATCACAATGGCATGAAACTAGAAATCAACTGCAACAAGAACATGCAAAGACATTTGAACACATGGAGGCTAAATAGCATGTTATTAAACAATGAATGGGTTACTGAGGAGATCAAGGAAGAAATTAAAAACTTCCTGGAAACCAATGAAAATGAACACACAACAACACAAAATCTATGGGATGCAGTAAAAGCAGTTCTGAGAGGGAAGTTCATAGCACTACAGGCCAACCTCAAGAAACAAGAAAAATTTCTAATAGATTATCTAACCTCACAACTTAAAGAACTAGAAAGCAAACAAAAAGAAAACCCCAGAGCAAGTAGAAGGAAGGAAATAGTAAAGATCAGAGCAGAAATAAATGACACAGAGACCAAAAACACAATTCAAAGGATCATGAAACAAAGAGCTGGTTTTTCAAAAAGATGAACAAGATTGATGGATCCTTAACTAGACTCACCAAGAAACAAAGAGAGAGAACTCAAATACACAAAATCAGTAATGAAAGAGGAGAAGTAACAACTGACACCACAGAAATACAAAAGATCATTAACAACTACTATGAACAATTATATGGCAACAAATTCGACAATCTAAGTGAAATGGACAAATTTCTAGAAACACACAGTCTCCCAAAACTGGACCAGGAAGAGATAGAAAACTTGAACAGACCAATATTAACAGAAGAAACTGAAGATGTAATCAAGACTCTCCCAGCAAACAAAATCCCGGGCCCAGATAGCTTCACGGGAGAGTTTTACTGAACATTCAAAGAACAACTAATACCCATTCTCTTCAAACTATTTCAAAAAATTCAAGAAGAAGGAAGACTTCCAAACTCATTTTATGAAGCCAGCATAAGTCTAATTCCTAAACCAGAAAAAGACACTACAAAAAAAGAAAACTACAGGCCAATATTCCTGATGAACATAGATGCCAAAATCCTGAACAAAATACTAGCAAATCGAATCCAGCAATACATCAAAAAAATTATTCACCATGACCAAGTGGGATTTATCCCAGGGATGCAAGGCTGGTACAATATTCACAAATCAATAAATGTGATACACCACATAAACAAAATGAAGAATAAAAATCACGTGATCATATCAATAGATGCTGAAAAAGCCTTTGACAAAATCCAGCATCCATTTCTGATAAAAACGCTCAGCAATGTGAGAATAGAGGGATCATATTTCGACATAATAAAGGCCATATATGAAAGATCTACATCCAACATCATATTCAATGGGCAGAAACTAATAGCATTTCCCTTAAGAACGGGAACAAGAGAGGGATGCCCACTTTTGCCACTCTTATTTAACATAGTACTGGAAGTCTTAGCCACAGC